ACGGTCATAGGCTATGAGGCCCAAAAAAGAATATTTCTCACTTCACTTGAATCTTGAAAAGTTTTGAGAGAAAGTCAGTGAATTCAGGCAGATGGGGAACAAAATACAGGGTGTCCCCCCAAAATGTATACACACTTTCACAGCTGCTAACTCAATTGATGTTTCTTTCTCTTCATATTTAACCTATTGGAATTAACAATTATTCAAAGTATGTACACTTTTTGGGGGACACCCTGTGTTTAAGGAGGTAAGGGTAGGTTGGGAGAGAGGACTAGGTATGAGCCAACAATGGGTTTTCTAATTCTGGTTCTCAGAGTTAAACAGACGTCCAACCTAGCCACAGAGGTTACTGGGCTCTCAGTGGAGGGTGCTGCCCCGGAAAGCGTAGGGCAGGAAGAATAGTCTGGAATGTGTGCTTCCTTCAGACAGCTGGCACCCACATAGGGAAACCGGAGGGCATCTCCTCTCCCAGACCCACCAGCAGACCATGGCGTGGATGAGATATGTTGGCCACTTCTTCTGAGTCACTTCAAATTCTGTCGTCCCATCTCTTAACCTAGCTGCTAGCAAGGCTATCAGTTCTGCACAAGCTCTAAATAATTTCAACTTGACGGCACCTCCCCTCACATCTTGCGTCTAGCTCCAGAGCTTTCCTGATGCCTTGGTGTGGGTTGAGCATGCTTGACACGCATACAAGTGCAACCTGAGTTAATTCCTGTGGGGTCATCCTTGACCAATGGTATGAAAGCCAACAGATAAAGGCTTCCCTCATTTTTCCCCTGGGAGGACAGTTCTAAGATATATTTTATAAGGGTCTTCTGAAGGTCTATGGGAACAGGTTCCAGTGGCCAACATAACAATCATTGCAGAGCTTTCTCTGTTTTCCTGTTCCACTCCTGTTTTTCTTCTATTTCTATTTCCTGAGACAATTTCCCAAATAAATTACATGCATTCAAGACTTTGTCTAAGGTTAAAACACTAGGCGGGGTGGGGAGGAGTGAGTGAGAAAGTAAAGAGAGGCAAACAGTGTTATACAATGGATGTCCTTCCACCTGGAAAGGAAAATCCAATGAGCCCAAGAGCTTCCCCTCTGACAGGAAAAATAATATGAGTACAATGTGGACCAAGGATGAAAAACACCTCTTTTGATCAGCCCAATTCTTAGATAGCCCAAAAGCTAAGAAAATTAGTCCTTTTTTTTTTATTGGATCTCAGGAGAGACGAAAACAAGATGAAGGGGTAGAGGACTGGCCCCGAGCATGGACCTGAGGCTTCTGAGCTGTGGGAACCTCCCAGCTGGAATGGGCCCACATCAGAAAACATTCGCTCTGAGCCTGGCCGGCGTGACTCAGCGGTTGAGCATCAACCTAGGATCCAGGAGACCACGGTTCGATTCCCAGTTAGAGCACATGCCTGGGTTGCGGGCTCGATCCCCAGTAAGGGACATGCAGGAGGCAGTCGATCAGTGATTCTCTCATCATTAATGTTTCTATCTCTCTCCCTCTCCCTTCCTCTCTGAAATCAATAAAGACATATTAAACAAACAAACAAACAAAACCACTGGTTCTGAGCAGAGCAAGATGGGATAGATTCAGGACTCCTTTTAGTTTTGTGGTTGGTGGCATATAGCTATTTTTATGAAAACTTTATGGGTACAGTGGATATTAGGGCCATCATTTTAAAACTAACTTTTCTAGTTCCTGTGTCTAGTAAAAAGGTTTACTTTTGTCTAAGGGAGGACATGTTGCACACTGAGGTTGAAGAGAGAAGTCATTGGCCGTGAAGGACTTTCTCGTAACCTACGCGCAGTGCGCCGGCCAGCGTGGCTTACCTTGGGCACGGCAACCACCCCCGGAGGCCAGGCTGTGCGCAACAAGGACAGGACTGGCCTTTGGGAAGCTAGGCTTGTCACATAGTGCTCATTCTGGCTACTGCACACCGCAGACGTGTTTTGTCTCCAGCTTTCATCCCTACCCCTAATCTATAATCTTTTTAAAATAGTTCTGAATCATACCTCTGAACTTACTTTAGGTAGGGCTGGCTTATTGCTTCTACCAAGCTTTTAAACAGAAACCACAGAATAGCTCCTGCTGGAGCTCCTTCTTCTGTTCTTTTTATGGGACAGGAATTACCTGCCAACAGATTGTTGAAGCTCCAAGTAAAAACATGTGTTCCATGCAGGGGAGCCCAAAAGATCTTGGGGAGAGTGTGCCTCGGGCCAGGAAGCGTCCATCCCGGCTGGAATCTTTCCCTTTGGGTAGCTCTGTGCCTTGCTTGCTGACACAGGCAATCCCCAGAACATGAAATATGGACCTGCCCACTTGAATGTGTTCAGGTTACCCTTTTTAGACAGTTGGCTTATTTTCTTGAATAGAAAATACATTAGACTTGTCAATGTTTCCCCTTTAACAGAGCAGAAAAAGTTCAAGAACTGGGCGCTTCTCCAGAAAGCACTGGCCATCCCGAAAGCACTGGGCATCACCAGCGTCTCTGGTGACATTTAGAGGGACTTCCTCTCAGGGCTGAACTTACCTCCCAGCAGGTGCAGAGCTGAATCACTAAGGACACAAATAGAAAGGGAGGGGCAAAAAGTGAAGGCTTTATATTTCCTCTTCAGGGACTCGGCTCCAATCTCACCCCAGAAAGCAGCAAAGGCAAAGAGGAGTGTCTCTCCGCTTTCTGGTTTCAGCTGTGCTTGTTGTCAAAGGGGAACAGGTAAGAGTAGCAAAATAGGGCATTTGGACAGGGTTGTAGTGAGCCGAGGGGAGGGGCAGCTTGCTCTTTAATCAAGTGTAGCTTTTGCTCACACCTCATTCTACCTGTATATCCTGGCATATCCAAGAAATTGGATTAAAATGTCATCCTTCATTTTTATCTTCCACAGATGTTTAGTGAGTGACTAGCCAGGGCTGGTCTAGATGCTGAAATGAAGCATAAAAAAACAAAGTCCTTGCTTTAATGGAAGTTGTACTCTAGAGGGAGGGGAGATAAGACAATAAATATATGTATAGTATATAACATACACTATAATATATATAGTTCATTTATATTTGTATAAATACATGTATGAATAATATATATGGCAAATAAGTACATATAAAGGGCAAATAAATAAATGTAAATTTATTTATATTTATATAAAATGTGTGTGTATATATATATAATATATAAATATAAATTAGGGTAACGGAATGAATGATTACTGGAGGGATGTGGTGAGTGAAAGCCTTATTGAAGGGATGCTATCTGAGCAGAGAGAAATGACCTGCTGGAGTGAGCCATTTGGATATCTTTGTGAAGAGCATCCCAGAAGACGGATAGAACATGCTAAGGCCCTGAGGTGGAATCTGTTCGGCATGTTGAAGGAATGCAGGGAGGTGACATGACTAGAACAGAGGGAGCTGGTGGGAGACTGGTAGGAGATGAGACTAAGAGGTTGCAGGGGCCAGATCATGAAGAACCTTGGTCACAGAAAAGAGCCTGGCTTCTGTGCTGAGAGAAAGTGAAGCAACTAGGATTTTTGAGCAGAGGCTGTAGGCAGTTCTGCAGTTAGTACATAGCTAAATGGTATTTTAAAATACCACTCGGTCTTCTCTAGGAAACATAATGGAGGATAGTAAGGACTGAAGTACGCAAATGAGTTAGAAGCCTGTTTCAATAGCTCATGAAAGGGATGGTGACAGCTTTGACCCAGGTGGCAGTTGGCGAGGGTGAAAAATGGGGAGAAGCTGAGTATTTCTGAAGACAGAGAAAACAGGATTTTTGGGGTAGATGGAATGCGATGAGAATGAGACAATGTTTAAGGATGATCCCGCGGCTTTGGGTCTGAGCAGATGAAGGAACGGAACTGCCATTTACAGAGACCAAGACGGCTGCTGGGGTGCAGGCTGGAGAGAGGTTCGGGAAGTCAGTTTTTGGACGTGTTAAATTTGAGACACATATTAGACACTCAAGTAGAGATGTTCAGTAGGCGGTTAGATATATGAATCTGGAATTCAGGGGCACGATAAATTTGGGAGCTAACAGCGTATCAGTGACACTTAAAGCTTGAAACTGGATGAGATCACCTGCCTGAGTGTGAACGGAGGCCCACGATTTAAGATATAGCAAATGAGACTGAGAAGGAGTGGCCCAGGGACCGAGGGGTGAACCAAGAAAGAATGATGACCTAGAAGTTAAAGGAAGAAATGTGTTTGAAGGCGATGGAGGCTCCTGGAAAATGACACCTCCTGCGGGCAAGAACTGTGCTCAATAAGTTTTGTATCTACAAGCCCCTATAGTCAGGGGTGATCAGTAAGTGTTTGCGGGACTGAGTAAAACAAATCCTTCCCGACATAGCGCTGTCCTTAGGTGGCACATACTTCAACATTATGTTTTTCTTTCTCAGGTCTTCTTCTTCTGGGTCCACCACTTTCACTGGCCCCATGGCTGCGGCCCAGGGCTGAGGGCTCTGGGCAGCTTCTCTTGCATGACCTATTTGCTAACATTCCCTTACTTTCAAAGAGGAAATGAGCAGAGAAGCTTGCCCAAGTTTACTTTATCGATTCTCACCTTGTTTGGTTATGAATGACCAGGATGGGAGTGTTCTCTCCTTGTGTTGGTGGATAGTCTAGCAGGAAAGTATCTCATTTGGCTGAGCCTGTGTAGCTCAAGAATTTTTCAGCACAAATTCCAGGATGAGTAGTGTCGTAAAACATGAAAATTCAAAGCACAAAGATCTAATTCCTTTTGTTCTTTTGCTCCGGAAGAATCACAGGTCACTTTTAAATATACACAAATGATAGCTTTGAAGTATTGGTTGAAAAGAATAGTAAATTTTCTGTTCATTAGAATCTAAACTACTGTTAATCCCCCTCTCTAGCATTTTCTAATTTCTGAAGCAGTGTGCTTAGGCTCTTTAATTCATGAAATGTAATAACTGAACTCCATATATTATCTATACCTCCGAGTAATATTCTGAGCTGTTTTCCCTTCTGTCCTCAGGTAGTGCTGGGCATAAAATGGATTCCCTCAGCACAGCAAACCTTGAATTTTGCCTTGATATGTTTAAAGAGTTGAACAATAACCACGTGGGAGATAATATCTTCTTTTCCCCGCTGAGTTTGCTTTATGCTCTAAGTATGATCCTCCTTGGTGCCAGAGGAAACAGTGCAGAACAGATGCAAAAGGTATGGAATCACCAAAGATGTCTCCAGAGCCTCGAAGCCTTACCTGCGCCCCCTGTGGGTCAGTCAAATTACTTACATCTTTACACCAAGAAAACTGCCATCTTGTGAAAGAAGAACACACTTTTGGGCAAACCATATTTCTTAAAAGTGGGTAATGGCTCAAGTAATATAATACATTAAAATTAAAATAACACAGTACATGCCATACACAGTCTCTTCTTTACCATCGGTAACCACACATACATTTCCACAATTACTTTTTAGAGTTCATCCTTTCACGAGTCAAACATAACAGAGACCACATGTATGGGTACTATTCTTGCCCTCTAGAAGTTTAATTTATAATAAAATTTAATGACATTTCAAGAGTTATCAAGTTTTAAAAATATTTGAACATCATAACAACCCTGTGTGGCAAGTAGCTATTGTTGTCCCTAGTTGGGGAAACTGAGACTAACAGAGAAAGGATGACTTTTCAGGTAACATAGACTGAGATTGACTTTTCAGGTTACATAGGCTGATATACAGTGATTTTTCCATTATATGTATTTTTTATTGATGTGGAAAGCCTAGAAGAATGTCACCTAACAACTTCCAGGATACTTGCACAAACTATTACTGTTTGTTCTTTATTTCTTTATTCCATACTTTGATGAACTTTCATAATTTTTTTGAATTTAAAATAGGTATTGTGCTGAAAAACCACATAATGTTATATATGTGGATGGGCTCTGTCATAGTGAGTGGCCTCAGAAAGGTGGGAGAGGGGAGAAGAGTCTAGTCCATGACACCTCAGTCTCTGGGCCCTCGCAGACAATGGTCCTGGGCACGTCGCTTAATTTCTCTTTGGCTCAGTTACCCTAACAAAAAAATGGGGATAATAGTTAATACTCATAGAGTTGTTGGGAGAGTTAAGTAAAATATGTAAAGGCTTAGTTCAGGACTTGGAATATAACATCGTTAAATGTTAGCTATTATATTGGTCCTTATCTGAAGTGGAAAAGTAGTTCCTTGTAACTGTTAACCTTTATAGGCTGTGCACTGCTTTGGATGCCAATTGACCCTTCTTTCTTCTTCTAGGTGCTTCACTTTAATCATGTTGCAGAGTCATTAAGGCCAGATCAGGACTCGGCTAAGGTATGGCAGTGTCACTGCTGAGCTGTCACACGCTCTTTGGAAGACAACCAAGAGATAAAGGTGCAGGGGTTGAGTAGCAGAGCCCCTCCTTGTTCTTTAAGGGGCTCGCAGTGTCCTCCTTGGTCTCCTCCTTCAATCTTCCTGCTCATTGCTACGGCCTGTAGAGTTAACGTAATGATGATGACGACAATAATGAAGCCCCCAGATTTGACCACATGACTTATTGTCATCCTTACTCAAACGTTTCTGTTCTTTTGCAAACTGTGTGCCACGTGGAACCTGCCAGCCTCATCTGTGCCGTGTTACATTTTTCAGACCAGTGAGGGGACTGAGAAAGGACCCTAAGGCTTTGCCACATAATTATACGCCAGGACACCAGGGCTTGATGCAGCCCAGCCCCCTGTTCCTAGTTCCTTCTGTAGGAGGGTTCCTTTCTACATGAAACTTATTTAGTTGTGTGTCTGATTGTGATTGACTGAGAAAATACATACGTGTGTATAGATTCACAGAATACTTGCTTCACAGAAGCCAATTTATTGTTAGGAGATTCAAGCCGATAGTTTGGGAATGTTCGCTTTAGGGAATATAGGCTTAAGCCCTCTGATGTCCGTGAACTCAGATGCATTAAAGCTGCATGCTCAACCAGATTGCTCCCGCGAGGGACAGGCGGGTGTGGAGGGTCAGTTCAGCGAGGAGCCGAAGACTCCTGTTAAAGGGTCACAGAAATGGAAACACTGAAAGGAGTGTGATGGAGAAGAGAAATGACTCTATAGGTATGAAGGCAGCAAAAAACCAAACCAAAACCAAAAAACCCTTCGGTTATTGCCCTAAAAACCCGATTAGGATCTCTTTATAGCTTCTGCTTTTGAACTTTTGGGGCTGCAAGTGCATGTGTGTTTTGCAATAGCTCTCAGTTGTGCGCACAATCTGTAACCAGAGTCACAGAGAGCTGAGATTATTGTGCTAGAGGAAACTAGAGAAGGAAAATGCTTTCAACTCTTTGTTGTTTTCACATTATTTATAACCCTCCTATGGCAAGAAATCAAGCAATTTAATACTCCATTCTTTGTTTACTGTGCTTTAGTGTAGCCAAACTGGAAGGATTCACTCAGAGTTTGGAGCCCTGTTCTCTCAGATCAACCAGCCAGACTCTAACTATACCCTCAGCATCGCCAACAGACTCTACGGGTCACAGGGGATGACATTCCATCAGGTAAGGCCACCTGGAATGATGGTCCCCAGCTTTCTTGGCATCCTCTGAATTTCATACTTACAATAAATCAAGAATGAGAAGAATCACATGACATTTATCTTTAAGAGATTAAATTGGAGCCTAGTTAGAGTTTCAGTGAGATGGTTTCACCAAACCCCCATTTAAGGTTATGAAATATCACATAAAATCTTTATTTCCACAAAATCACCAAAGTTGTTCAAGAACTAAGGTCAGGGATGAAGCACAAAACAAAGGTAAGAATTATCCCTTATGGACAAAATCCATTTCTCATTTCTTCTTCAAAGGCCTTAAAAGGCAGAGTATTAAGAATTAGTGGAAAGTACATTGGACTGGGAGCCAAGAGATCTGAGTTCTGCTCTCATTTAGACATATGACTTTGGGCAAGTCACTTCTACCTTTAAAATGAGAGGACTGGACCAAGGTATTTTTTTGTATGTTTGGTTTTGGCTACAAAATTCTAACACAATTTGTGCCATTTCCCAAAAACATTGGAATATTCAGTTTTATTATTTACTATGTGTCAATCACTCTACTCCATACATTACAGACATTATCTTATATAAATAATCCTTACATAGTCCTAATATGTAGGTACAAAATTGCCATTAATTCCACAATTGTGAAGCAAATCATGAAAAAAATTGAGAAAGGTCACAGAGATAAGTGGCAAAGCTGGAACTCGATCCCTGTCCAAATCCAAACCCCTGTTTGTCATTGCTACGTCATCTTGCTGTGATTGAGGTGATATGCTGGCCCCAGTGACTTAGTTTTTGTCTGACCGGTGTTACTTAAATGCCAGCCAAGTGAATCAGGAAGCAGCCTTGTCTAATGTTCTTTATCCGGGAGGTGTCTTACATGTGGCAAGTTTTTAATTGCCAGAATTTTTATAACTTGGGGTGGCCCACCCTGGTACTATAGATATTTCAGAGTTATCTCCTCTACTGCCCTAGAAGCATATAGGGAATGTTTTATGAAGAGTGCTGGAAGTGTGGGAATTAATATTCATGATCTTCGGAGTTGGATCCCCTTGTCTCCCCCAAACAGTGATCTGGATGTAATAGTAGAGAAATGCTAATTTGGCTTAATGATGATTGCATCTGTTTCACAAGTGAGAAGCTCCTCATCAGTATTATGAAGATTGTCATGAACTGTGTCATAAGATATTATTATCCCAGGATTCTGTCTGGAAAAACTCCCATCTCCTGGGCTATGGGCAGTCACTTAAGCATGTTCCAGCCACCATGGAACCCAGCTCAGGACAAGAATCATGTCAAGGCCCAGATTTTGCTCTTAGTTAAGCTCTCCTTTTGTTCTACACTGGATTTAGGCACAAGAGAACCCAGTTAAGCCAATGGCAAGCCAAACACCAGGCAGCCACCTCCACACCTGCCATATTTCTAAATCTTGTGTCACCCTAGATGTTCATGGTGGGACACTGGATCCTGCTGGACTACAGAGGTATGTCCCCAAGGTCTCAAGAATGAAAGGGCCAGCAGTTTCATTTGGGTCTGTGCAGATTTGGCACTGGGACATTCCTAGTTCTAGGACCCGAAGGCCATGGGTAGAAATCAGTGGTGGCTTCAGACTGCTACACGGGAACCAATTTGGGAGTGGAAATTTGATCAAAAGAGAGGGCTAGGTTCTTTGTGCTAAATTTATACATTATTTTTACTTGGATAATACATTATATGTGAAAAAAACTAGTGAATCCTTAAGGTATTTTTGTTTACATTTTACATAAAGTTGAAAAAATGTCAACATCTACATCAGAGAATATTGTCATTGATTTTATTTGTTGTGGCTTGCGAGGAGGTTGAAATAGACCATGTGGAGATGTAACCTTCTGTTAGACCTCAATCGAGCAAACCCTTTGAACACTCCGGTCCTCAATTTTCCTACATGGAACGTGAGAGCCTAACTCCCGTTTGTCTGTGTCCTTTGAAGAGGACAGTGGAGGGGTAGAGTGAAAAGGTAGGCGCCCTACTGCAAGCTGTCATTTTGCTTTGAATGTTTTAAAACTAAGGGTGCCCACGATATGACAGAAGTAGCAACCAAAAGTTCCCGAACGTTCCTTTTGAAAAGTTCTTCGATTCGCCTTTGCGTGCATTCTGCCTCCCTTCGGACGCGTGTGCATGAGCCGCCTTTGTGCGCGAGGATGTGGGAGCACATTCGGCCGCAGCTGTTTGGCCTCCTTACGGTGCAGCTGTGCTCTTACCTGTTCTCCTGTCCTTTCCAGCAATATTTAAGTTGTTCTGAGAAGCTGTATCAATCCAGGCTGCAAGCCGTTGATTTTCAAAAGTCTACAGAAGAAACGAGGCAAGCTATTAATGCTTGGGTTGCGCGTAAAACTAATGGTAAGTCGCATATGTGTCTGCAAACTCGATCCGTGCTGCCCCGATAAACTCCCCGAGCCAACGCTAGGGAGGAAGCTGGGGGAGGCCCGGGCAGGCCCGGCGCATGAACAGTGCAGGAAGTGGGAAGATTTTGAAATGTCCCTCATGCCCATTTGTCCTAAATGACCTAGCTAAGTGACTCTGGGAAAAGAACACTATTTCTACATTATAGAGGTGTTGCCATGCATCCTGCTATTAAACTCAATTAAACTTAAATCTACCTTTCCGAATTTCAAAATAAACCCTATAATATTGTTAAATAGTTCCTTTTTAAAAATGGAACATTAAATGTTCTTACCAAAGATGTGTTCTTTTTTTTTCTTTTTTTAATCGAGTTAAGGAAAAATTTAAAGAAAAGAGAGACTAATAGAATGAATTCTTATTTAGCTGCAATATTTATTACTTAAGGCCAGTATTATTTACTAAAGCCACACCCTTTTCCTACCACTTCTGTCACATTATCTTGGAGCTAATCCCAGATATCATATATTTTTTTCTGTATATGTTTCAGTTTGTGCCTCTGAAAAAATATAAGCTTTTTAAAAATATGACTACCACACCATTATTACACCTAGAAAATTTAAAAAATCATTTAATATTAAGAAATATTTACTGAGTTTTTGTATTCCTCCAACTGCCTCTTTTTTTTTGTTTGAACCAGAACCCAAATGATGTTTGTACTTTGCAATTGGTTAATATGTTCCTTAAAGCTTGATTTTTAAAATAAGCTTTCTGATTGAAATGTGTGTATATTTAGAAAAGTTTATACATGATATGTTTGCTGTTCAGGGAATTCTTACAAAGATGAATACTCTGTTGTACCACCCCCCAGGCCAGGAAAATAAAACATTAGTTCCTGGGAAGGGCACTATGAGGCTACCCTCATGTCTTCTCCCAGAAACTAACCCACCCCATTCCCAGACCTTAAGACTTCTCTGACTTCTATTACTCCGTATTAGTTCTGCCTATTTTAAAATTTCATCTAATTGGAGTTGCTGATTACTGCTTAGGCCCATTATTTCATTAGGGGTTCTAAGGTTGCTGTTCCAATTCTTGCATTCCTTCTTTATTTATAAGATGAAATGTTTCTATATGAGAAGCTTCTCATAAGATATTTGGTTACCCCAAGTACTGTTCATGTGAGAAAAACAAAATGAAAGAAAGAAAGAAAGAAAGAAAGAAAGAAAGAAAGAAAGAAAGAAAGAAAGAAAGAAAGAATAAATAAATAAATAAATAAATAAATGCTGGATTCTTTTTCTTCAATACAAGTTTAAAATAATGTTGTCCCCCCCCCC